GGGCGGCCCGGTGCAGCAGGAAGACGCCGCAGCCACTGGGGCTCCCCAGTCCCTCTGCACTGTCATTCTGGTCACTGATACCATATCTGAGCGGGTTGATGTTCTCTTTGCAAAACTGAAGTGGGTGATGTGGACCATGATAAATGGATCACAAGCTCTGCCAATCCAATCATTATCGATCCACCTATGATCAATACATGGGTTGTAGATCATTATGTTCCATCAGCTAAGAGCTTCAGGATGAAGGGAGCTGAAGGGAAGATACTGGTGCTTCAAACGCGAGTGTTTCCGTAGTGTGTCAGCACAAGGCACCGTCTAAGAGCTGGACCTGTCCCAGAATATAGTGATGGACAGTACCAAGCCAGGGGCTGCTTAGCAAGAGGCATGGGGCTTGTTTGAGAGAGTTTAGGAAAGTCTGAGGCATGAGCCAAGACAGGCCATTTGCATGAAAAAATTGCTGGACGTGGGCAGGCAAGTTGCATGGGCCAGGGTCTCAGGGAATCACCAGGGCAGGGTGAGCGGTGATAGCTGGTTGATGGAGACAGATATGGTGCCCGCCAGCCAGCTCTCTGGAGGGTGCAGCAAAGGAACAGTGGCTCTGGGGGCACTTCTGTCTGGGAGAAAGCTCCGGCTCTCTCCCTGAAGCCAGGCAATTCAGTTTCTCCCTTCCGTCCTGGTGCCTTTCCAGCTGCTGCCCCTTTACTGGAGCTCAGAGTGAGTGAGTCTGAGTGAGTGGTGCAAAGGCCCTTTAAGAGGAACGCCTGGGCCTCCAATAGCCCTGTGTCTTTCTCAGTCACAATCCCTGCTGGTTTTTACAGCCAAAAGTTATGGGGACTTCTCTTCCTGGCACCAGAGCCTGGGCTGGGGGCCTGGTGTGGGGCTGGGACCTGTGCTCCCCAGGGTACCTCTGCCGCCGAGATATTCCTGCTGATTTTCATCTGCCTCACGTGGGTGTGGGAAAGGCCCATTTATGTGTCTACCAGTCTCGCGGGGCCTCTTTTTGTCTTTTGTTGTAGGAATTCTTGTCCAGCTAGATTTCAGGGGGTCCTGAATGATGGTTGTTCTGTAGGTTATTTGTGATTTTGATGTGGTTTGGGAGGATGTTAGTGCCACGTGTACTTACGCCATTATCTTAAAAAATTTATATATATATATACATATATATTGACTTCAGAGAGGAAGGGAGAGGGGGAGAGAGATAGAAACATCAATGACGAGAGAGAATAATTGACTGGCTGCCCCCTGCAGGTCCCACACAGGGGTTCAAGCCCACAACCTGGGCATGTGCCCTGAGTGTTACCAAATCACCTGGGGGGAGGAGGGGCAAAGATGGTGGAGCAACCCAATCCCCACGCACCTCCAGGTCAATCGGCGTCAAAAGTCCCAAAGCATTTACCAGCTCCTGCATTTAAATACATTCAAGACTCAGGAGTAATCAGTAGGGTGGCCAGCTTATTCCGGTTTGTCCAGGACGTTCCTGGCCTTAGCCCTGGAAGTCCCATGTTCCAGGGAACCCCCCAGGCTCAGGTAAACCAAGGTCACCAGTTACCCTAGCTCAGTGACTGCCCATTAGAATTTCACAGTAAGCTTTAAAAATTCCTGCTGCTGGGCCCACCTCCAGAGGTGATGTTAGACTGGGGCTGGGAGCAGCCAGGGCGTGAGGAGGTTGAAAAGTTCCTCTGAATTCTAATGCTGCCAGGGTAGAGAACCACTGAAGCTCCTTGCCTGCCATTGCTCCTACTAAAAATATTTCTAAACCCAAACAAAGTCAATGATTCTAATGAAGTTGGACCCATACCACACACCATATACAAAAATGGACTCAAAATGGGTCAACAGTCTAAATATAACTAAAACTATAAAAATCTTAGAAGAAACATAGGGATAAATCTGTTTGACCTTGGATTTGGTGATGGATTTTTAGATAGAACACTAAAAGCATGAACAACAACACTGAAAATAGATAAATTAGACGTTGTCAAAATTAAAGACTATCGTGTATCAAAAGAATTATTTTTTTTAAGTTATTGATTTTAGAGAGAGAAAGAAAGGGAGGGAGAGAGAGAAACATTGATTTGTTGTTTCACTTATTTATGCATTCATTGGTTGATTCTTGTATGTGCCCTGACTGGGGATTGAGCCTGTAACCTTGATGTATCAGGACAACGCTCTAACCAACTGTGCTACCTGGCCAGGCCCAAAAGACATTATTAAGAAAGTAAAAAGCCAATCTACAGAGGGAAAAGTATTTATAAATCTTATATCTGATAAGGTTCTTCTATCCAGAATATATAAAGAACTCTACGACTCAAAAGAAAAAGATAACCCACTAAAAAATGGGCAAAGGATATGAATAGACATTTCTTTGAAAAAGATACACAATCACCAACAAGCGCACAAAAAATGCCATTAGTCACCAGGGAAGTGCAAATCAAATCCACAGTGACATAACACGTCATGCCCACTAGGATGCTATCAGAATAATTTAAAAAGCTGGAAAATAACAACTGTTGGTGATGTGGAGAAATTGGAATCTTCGCACATTGCTGGTGGAAATGTAAAATGGTACAGCCACTATGGGAAGCAGTTTGGTGGTTCCTCAAAAAGATAAACATAGAGCTATCTTCTGACTCAGCAATTCCACTCCTAAATACATACCCCAAAGAATTAAAAGTAGATACTCAAACAAATGCCAATGTTCATAGCAGCACTACTCACAAAAACCAGACTGTGAAAGCAAACCAGAAGGTGGAAACAACCCAAGTGTCTGTCAGCAGATGAATGGATAAACAAAACGTGGTATATCCATGTAACGGAATATTACCCAGACATGAAAAGGAATGAAGTAGCAATATGAACTCCACCATGGATAAACCTCAAAAACATGTGAAGAGAAAGAATCCAGCTCAAAAGGTCACAATATTGGACGAATACACCTATATAGAATATCCAGAACACGGTAAATTAATAGAGATAGAAAGCAGATTAATGGTTGCCAGGGGCTGGAGAGGGCAGAATGGGGAGTGACTTCTTAACTTGTAGGGTGATGGAAAAGTTTAGGACTAAATAGAAGTGGTAGTTATACCACACTGTTAAAATAGTTGGTGGTATGTTATCTGGATTTCACCTCAATAAAAAAAATTAATGGTTTACTCTTATCTACAAAATACAATTGAGACTAAACTCTTTAGTGGTCAAAGTCCTTCACAGCTGATCTTTACTTCCTGTAGCCTTATCTTTTATCACTCCCATGATGCTGACTGCCTGTTCATGGCATTCCACTGAAATCCCAGCGTGTCAAATACACTCTGCCTCGCCTTGAAAGCTCACCCACACGGCGAGGGAGGTCTCTACCAGCAGTTCCAGCCACAGTCCTCTCTTGATTCTTGTAGCTCTTAACTTTACACCCTTGCACTCAAAGCCTGGTCCTGGGACCAGAAGCATTGCCGTCCCCTGGGAGCTTATCAGAGGGGCAGAACCTGGTGCCCAACCCCAGACCCACTGAGTCCAAATCTGCATTTTAACATGATCCTCTGGTGATTAAGTCTGAGAAGCACAGGCTTATACTAGTGGGCCTCAAATTAGGCTGTAGATCAGCATCACTTTGTGAGCTGTATTTATTTATAATATACTAGAGGCCCAGTGCACGGATTCATGCACCAGCGAGGTCCCTCAGCCTGGCCTGCGCCCTCTCGCAATCCAGGACCCCTCAGGGGATGTTGGACTGCCAGGGATTGGGCCGAAACCGGCAGTCCGACATCCCCTGAGAAATGTAGTAGTGCACGAAGTAGCAGGTAGCCGGGGAGGAGCCCAAGCCTAGACTGGGCACCGCGCTACTCCCACTCATCCGGGCCCCACTTCGCCTGCTGCCGCTGCCACCGCCTGGAGGCTCACGCCGCAGCAGCTCCGCTTGACAGCTGTGAGCCCAGCTTCTGGCTGAGCAGTGCTCCCACCAGGGAGTAACTCCTGGGTTGAGTGTCTGCCCCCTAGTGGTTAGTGTGCATCATAGCTACTGGTCGACCGGTCGCTTAGGCTTTTATATATATAGATATTTTAACAATATATACACGTGGTTAATGACAAACTATATATATATATATATATATATATATATATATATATATTTTTTTTTTTTTTTTTTTTTTAAGTAGTGAAAAAAGTAAGTCTCCCTCCTACCTCAGTTGCTCAGATTTCTACCTGGATGCAATTTTTGTTCAAGTCTCTTGGATATTCTCCCCTGCTCTATGCATATGCAAGCATACATGTCCATATTGGTTTCCTCCCTCATTTTGTGATTACACAGAGGTTAGCCCACTTACACACCGATTTTCACTTTTCACTCAACAGTATATGTTGAAGATCACTTATGCACATGTAGACTGCACAATATTGTTTTAATGGCTGCATAGGAGCCATCCTATAGTTGTATAGTTGTAGTATATATGTGTAATTTCTTTCTAGTACTATTAAGGACATTATAGTATGTTGTTCATTACAAAGCTCCGTTCCCTATCCTTTGTGAATATCTTTGAGTGTATGATGTGTCAGTGTATGAAAGATTTGCAGAAAGATAGGTACAGTTTAAACATTGTAAGGGATATTAAAATCTCCTCTAAAAAGCAGAACCAATTTACATTCTTGGGGAGCCTTAAAGAATTTTTCAGGCTACTTTTCACTTCAACTCCGTGGGTGGGGCCCGGAATCTGTATTTTATTTCTTTGGTGATTCTGATACTACAAGACTGTGGGATGGGCCGGGAACCAGGGCAGACCATCTTGAACCCTGACCTGTGATTCCCCTTGAGCTGCCTCAGATTGCTCTTTATCATTTTATGCGACTGTTTAATCTCCTCACCAAGGTGACAGGTTCCTAGGACGGGCCTCAGGGATGCTGCTTCCTTGTATTCTTAGCCGATACAGCACTATGTATGATGATGCTTGTTGATGATAAGGCTTCGAAGAATGTTAGTGGCTTATATAATGATTTTTTTTTTTAGTTCCATGGACCAAACACAGAGAAGAATCCTGGGCCAGCCCCTTTCTATGCCCACCGCACAGCCCAAGAAGAAAAGGACTCCCATGATGTCTTTCTTTTCCAAGGTCTGACACAAAATATTGTGAACGAATGTCCCTTCCCAGCAGCCACTGTGTAACCTGTGTGCTGGCCTGGTCTGCAGTAGTCCAGCTGGCTCCACTGAGGTTCCTTCTTCTGAAAAAATGTCTGATGATAGTTCTTTAAACACGGAGAGAATGTTTATAGAGTCACAAGATGAGTTGAGATGAATATAGCTTGCTGTGAAATTAATAATAAAAATATAGACTGAAAAATGAATATCCAGAGATAATGACGAGACGTGGTAATCACCCAAATAAGGCTGCCGATACCGTGTCCAGCTCCCCACCCCAGCCCATTACTAAGGATGGTGAAGAGGTGGCTTTTTCTTGGTCACATCTGCATCTTGCATCGTCTTGGTTCTGACTCCAGGACGTGTTGCCATGTCCTGTGTTGTGCAGAACCCAGGGCCTTCCTGGTCTCAGGGCTCAGAGGCTCACTGCAGAGGTAACCCATCTCTTGATCCGCAGTCACTTCGAGTTCAGTCCTTGAAGTACAGGTTTCTGCATTGGCCACAAAGCATTGCCCAATGTTTCATTTCTCTGCACTTATTTTCCTAATTGTAAATTGCTCAGATGTGTGCATTCTGGGGTGGGACATCCTGCAGGTGCCCTGAAACGTTTGTAGATGTGCATTGCTCTTGCATCAAAGGCTGTTGGGAAGTTGAGTAACATGAGTACTGAACATTGACCCTTGGATTTAGCCATATTGTGGCCTGGGGAAGGGAGCCCATCAACCTGACTGCAGAAGGTTCAAGGGAGAATGGAGAGGAAGTGGAGAAAGCAAGTATAGGCATGACTTTCAAGGTGTTTAGCTACAAAGTAGAGCAGAAAAAATGGCGGAGGAGGCAGAAGAGTCCAGGAAACTCTTTTTTTCTGAGATGGGAGGAATACAGAGAACCTAGTCCGGCCAAAGGGCTCCCTACTCTCAGCTCACACCAGCTCTTCCCCATCCCCTTTTCTTTTCAGTTCTATCAAACCCTCAGCTGGCCTAGAGCACCTCTGTTCTTAATTCCCCCAAACCATCATCAACACCAGGTCTGCATTTTTAAAAAATATATTTTTATTGATTTCAGGGAGGAAGGGAGAGGTAGAGAGAGATATAAAAATCAATGATGAGAGAATGATTGATCAGTTGCCTCCTGCATGCCCCCTACTGGGAATCTAGCCTGTAACGGGGCATGTGCCCTGACCGGGAATTGAACCGAGCTTTATTCTACTGGAATAATGACCTCCTGGTTCATAGGTCAACACTCAACCACTGAGCCACACCGGCTGGGCTGCATTATTTTTTTTTTTACCCCTTTCCCCCCCTCCATCAATTTCTTCATTTTGTAGATCAAACTACATAAATATAGAGGGTGGGGCAAGAGTAGGTTTAGTATAGTTGTGAGTATATGAAACACAGAGTTCATTCTTGTATTGTCATTTATTAATTATTGTTACTATTTTTCATACAAATAACTATAAATCTACTTTGCTCCTACTTGTATTTACAGCAAAAAAAGTCAGGTGTCTTCAGATGGAGAAAGAATGTGTAAAATTGAGCTGGCAACACAGGATTTTCTCTAGAGCCGTGGTCGGCAAACTGCGGCTCGCGAGCCACATGCGGCTCTTTGGCCCCTTGAGTGTGGCTCTTCCTAAGCCTTATGAGTACCCTAATTAAATTAATAACAATGTACCTACCTATATAGTTTAAGTTTAAAAAATTTGGCTCTCAAAAGAAATTTCAATCGTTGTACTGTTGATATTTGGCTCTGTTGACTAATGAGTTTGTCGACCACTGCTCTAGAGGAAGGGGTTGGGGTTGGGGTTGGGTATGACTCTGAACACTCCCAAATCGATACATTCTGACTCACTACCCAGGTCTCTTGGAAGCTGAGGTTCCAGAAGAGGGAGCATTTGAAGAATGTGCTTTACATCTTGGCAGAAAGAGCCCGGGACCCCAGTGCTAAAAAGCGTCACATGGCAGTGAGAGGCCTGGGAACCATGGCCTGTGAGAACCCCGACAAGGTAGGAAGGGAAGGTGGCCTGGAGTCCGCAGGACTGGGCTATGGTCCCTCAGGCACTAGTTACTATTGCTGTGTAACAGGTCACCACAGACCTAGCATTTATTAGTTTGCCATTTCCCTGGGTCAGGAGTCCAGGTACAGCTTAGCTGGGTCCTCTGTCCAGGGTCTTGCAAGGCTGCAATCAAGGTGTGGGCCAGATTACATTCCTTTCTGAAGCAGGGAGTCCTCTTCCTAGCTTATAGGGCCATTGGGAGAATTCAATTCCTTCCAGTTGTAGGACAAAGGTCCCTGCTTCTTTGCTGGCTGTCAGTTGGGGGCCACCCTTAGCTCCTAGAGGCGCCCACTCATAACATGGTAGCTTACTTCTTCAAGGTCAGCAAAGTCTCTGCTAAGAAGGAGTCATGTAATGTAAGTAACCATGGGAATGACATCCCATGAGTGTTATCATCTATACTAATAAAAGGGTAATATGTTAATTAGACCAGACATCTTCTGGACATCCTTCCGGACAAAGCCACGATGGCAGGGGCCAAGGCAGAGGCGGTTAGGGGCAATCAGGCCAGCAGGGGAGCAATTAGGGGCATCAGGCCAGCAGACAGAGGCAGTTAGGGGTGATCAGGCAGGGAGGCAGGTGAGTGGTTAGGAGCCAGCGGTCCCGGATTGCGAGAGGGGTGTCCAACTGCCGGTTTAGGCCCGATCCCGCAGGTGGACATCCCCTGAGGGGTCCTGGATTGGAGAGGGTGCAGGCCGGGCTGAGGGACACCCTCCCCCCATGCATGAATTTCGTGCACTGGGCCTCTAGTCCTACATAATAAAGAGCTAATATGCTAATTAGACCGGACAGCAGAATGACCTTCTGGAACAACCTTCTGGAATGACCTTCTGAAATGACCAGTGGGCGGGGGGTGGGGCCATAAGGCAGCCGGGGCAGCGAGGGCCAAGCCCCTTGCATGAATTTCATGCACCGGGCCTCTAGTATTCAATAAGAGGCTAGAAGCAAGTCACCAGTTCCTCCCACACTCAGGGGAAGGAGATCGAACAAGGACATACTCATTTGGAGTCAACACACCTCAGTATTCTCAGCCTTGGGAAAGAGTTGCAGGCAGGATCAGCACACAGCTGGACATCACCACTTTGGTAAATTCAAATTATTTTCTAATAATTTGTTCTTGTTTAGCATCTCTTCGTTTAGCATCTGTCAACTTCAGTGACCATTTCATCTTGTCCCCAGTATGCCTCAGAAATCTAGATTATCCAGTCCAACCCCCTCCTTGACACGCCCTGCCTAACCTCATCCACCCATGGGCCACGCTCCAGATCACTCTGTGATCTCCTTCTAAGACTGACTTGGGCTCTTGGGTCAGGTGAATGGAAGCATTTGTTATTTACTTATTTTTTTTGAAGTGTTTGTATTTTGATGAGAGTTGTTGTGGTAGATCCTGAAGATAGCCCTAGATTATTGTACAATTAGAAGTGGAGTTGCTTTACAACTCACGGGGAGCAATTCCCGTGCTACTAATGCTATTTAAACCTTGATTACAGGTGAGAAAGTATAAGAAAGTTGTCCTAGACATGCTGGTGCATGGATTGTATGATCCCATGAGTTCGGAAGTCATCCACGAGAGTCTGAAGACTCTGACCATCATCCTGGGCAAGATCCAAGGGAAAGGTTTGGGCTCCTTCTTCATAGACATCACTCTTCAGACCAGGACTCTACTAGATGACGTAAGTGAGATGACCCAGAAAAATTACAGGTTATGAAAACCAAATTGGGGCTGGAAATGTGACGCCTGGGTGTTGCTCAGGGAACAAGATCTCTATTATTCACTTATTTACTAACAAATCTTTTTTAAAAATTAAATTCATTGCGGTGACATTGCTTAACAAGATTACATAGGTTTCAAGTGTACATTTCTGTATATTGCATTGTGTGCTCACCACCCAAAGTCAAATCATCTTCTGTCACCATATGTTTGTCTCCCTTTACCCTTTATTACCCCTCACCCCCTTCCCTCTAGTCACCACCAAACTGTTGTCTGTGTCTATGCGTTTCAGTTTTATATCCCACATATGAGGGAAATCATGTGGTTTTTAGTTTTTCCTGACTGACTTATTTCACTTTGCATAATATTCTCAAGGTCCATCCATGTTGTCACAAATGGCAGTGTTTCATCCTTTCTTATGGCTGAGTAGTATTCCATTGTGTACATGTACCTATCTTCTCTATCCAATCATCTGCCAAAGGACACTGGTTGTTTCCATATCTTGGCCACCATGAATAATGCTACAATGAACTTAAGGATATATATATCTTTGGGAATAAATGTTTTCAATTTTTTTCAGGTAGATATCCAGAAGAGGGATTACTGGGTCATATGGCAACTCTATTCTTAACTTTTTTGAGGAAACTCCATACTGTTTTCCATAGTAGCTGTACCACTGTACATACCCACCAATAGTGAATGAGGGTTCCTTTTTCTCCACAACCTCCCCAACACTTGTTATTACTTGTCTTGTTGATAATAGCCATTCTAACAGTTGTGAGGTGGTATCTCATTGTAGTTTTGATCTGCATTTCCCTAATAGCTAGTGGAGTTAAGCATCATCTCTCTACATAAAAGGTTAATATGTTAAGTGTCTGACCGTCTGACCGGTCGCTATGATGCGCACTGACCACCAGGGAGCAGACGCTCAACACAGGAGCTGCTGTGATGTGCACTGGCCATTTACAGAGAAATGGCACCGCAGACCTGGCACCGACAAAGCAACACTTGGCTTCCCCAAAGTGGGACACAGGCCCCGCCACCACCCTGGAGCGACACCCCACCAAATCACAGCCAACACTGCCGAGACCCCATGGTGCAAAATGTGGCCCACAGCCCAGCCCAGCCCAGAAACAGTGGCTGTGGGCGCCGGGTAATGATATCATGTAGCAACGCCCGCTTCCTCTCCCTAGCAACTAGCCTCCTTGCAGTTTCTTCAGCCCAGGAACACGACTTTAACCAAATGTCTGTGAAGCATTTTCCCGTGCCTCATCTCATTTGATCTTCACAGAAGTCCTGGAGTAGGTAGAGAGGAGACTTGGTGGAATCCTATTTTCTTTTCATTAGTTGGAAAACAGAGATTGAGAAAGCTTAGAAACTTGACCCGACTGAAAAGAAGTAAGAAATGGTGGAACTTGAGAATGACTTCAGGTTTTCTCACTGCACAGAATATAGTCAAACACTGCTGCAGTTAAATAATTTATCCTTTGTTCTCCCTGTGTGATCTACAATAATAACCTGCTTCATGTTGATATTTACTGCTGTGTTGCTGACAATTACCTAAAAGAGAAGTTGGGGTGCTTCACTGGGCTAGAAAAAGTTTAGCTAAATAGGAAGCAGGTCTAATTAAGCAAATATATATATAGCTCTTGCTGGTGCCAATTGCATGCATGTGTTTCGATCTGTCATTGTCGACCATGAATTTGGTTGATACTTCTATTATAGAGAAAGGGCAAATAGTGATATGAAAATATTTCTTCTAATTAATTTCCTTTCAATGTGCACAAATTCATGCACTGGGCCACTAGTTTCATATATCTGTTGGCCATTTGTATATTTTCTTGGGAGACGTGTCTGTTCAGGTCCTCTGCCCATTTAAAAAAATGATATTTAGAGAGAGAGGAAGGAAGAGAGAGAGAGAGAGAGAGAGAGAGAGAGAGAGAGAGAGAGATACATCAATGTGAGAGAGAAAAATTGATCAGTTGCCTCCCATAAGTGTCCTGACCGGGGATCAAGCCCATAACCTAGGTCTGAGCCCTAACTGAGAATCCAACCTGCAACCTTTTGGCGTATGGGAGGATGCTCCAACCAACTGAACCACCAGGCTAGGGTGAGACCTACTTTTTTAAAATAAACCTTTTTTTAAAAAATTTTGAACCATGTAAATGTATTTTATCTTTAAATCAATAAGTAATGAAAAAAAAAAGTTGGGAAGCTGAGAGTAGCACTAGTGATCCCCAAGTCCAGTCCTCTTTCTTGTCTGCTGGTGAAGAGGTTCATTGAAGACTCAGGCCCTTTCCACCTCATCCCACCCCAGCCAGCCAGTGCTGCGGCCTGGATCTGATGGCCCCCTCTAACATGCTGCGGTTTTCTCGGATGCAGTTGCCTTTTCCCACTGACTTGGGTTTTGTTGTTTTGCTCACGGGGAACCCGCAGGAGAATGACAGCCTGAGATACTCGGCCTTTGTCTTGTTTGGGCAATTGCCTGCCTTTGCTGGGCGGAAATGGAAGAAATTTTTCATCGATCAAGTTAAGCAGACTCAAGATTCCCTCCTGATCCATTTACAGGACAGAAATCCCCAGGTTGCCAAGGTAAGTCCGTGACTCTCCCATCGACCGCAAAAGATCTCCCTGCCTTTCCTACAGGGAGTCCTGACGCGCCAGACTCTCAGCTCCTGCCAGTTCAGTTACAAATGCTTAGCAGCCCTTCCACGTGAATCCTGGGAAAAGGGTCTCCTCCGCGTGTAACCTCGCTCTGAGCAAGTGTCCTTTCCCACGTGCTCCTGCCCACTGCCCACTCCCAGCACCCGGCAGTGCGAGATGGGTTCAGGTTAATGCAGGGTGGGGCAGAGAGGCTCAGGTGTAAGCCACGGGCAGTCCCCATAATGAGACATTTATTCATGCCTGTTAGCTTCTGTCACTGCACCTAGTATAGACTTCCTACCTCTGGCTTCTCAATTCCCTGTGGAACTTGTGTTTCATTCTTGGAGAAAATGTGTCCTAGCAGCATTGGATCAGCCGTGGGGATGCTCTGGAGTGGGACAGGGCGAGTGTGTCAAAACCACGGGGAGCAAAGGGTCCCACAAAACCACTTTTCTTCTGAGAGAGAGGCGGGGTGGGGGGGGGGGAAGAAATATTAGGTGGGTTAAATTTAGGAATCCAGTACCACTTTTGATGGGACAATAACAAAAGCTGTGGTAAACTACAAAGCTATGCCCTTCCCACCAGCCCCAAATGATAGAGATGGTCGTTTTATAAGCATAAATCCTTTAAGGTTCAAGGTTTCAAACTTCCTGGAAGTCACTTTCACACTCTCAGGGACCCCCAGGCCCGACTGGGTGCCATCCTCTTCCTTGGTCGGGATTATAGAATTCTCTAGTGAAGTGTAAGATTGTCTAACCACGATGCTGTAGACCTGACACTAATACAAAATAACATTGAATGTACACTGGGATTGAAAAGATAAAAAGAATTTCCCTAATATTTTGGGCAGTGAGACGGGAATCTTCTCTTTCTCAGGCTTGCAAAACCACATTCCGAGCCTGTTCTCCCTACCTGAGGCAAAGGAAGGAGCGCAGCTTCCAGAGTGAGGACGATCAAAGGAACCCCAAGCTCTGTAGGCAGCTGGTGAGTGGGGGGCGCGGGGGGCAGAAGAGAAGCCTCCCACAGGTCCCTGCCGCCCAGTGTTAATGCAGAAGGTGGCTGGGCACACCAGGAGTTTGCCCCCCATCAAGCGCTCACATTCCGATTGTAATTGACCCATAATGCAATGTAAGTGACAAAATGCCTGGAAGATTACGCACAAGCTATATTGGCAGTTCCCGTCCAGGTCATTTGACGGACACGGGCAATGACGCCTCGGGAATCTGCAGGTCGCTTGTGCCCGCGGTCTGCACTGGACTCGGCCTGCTCATTCTGTAGTGGGGGAGGTTTGGTAACGCCCACCCTCACGGGGACCTCTGCTGATTTCTTTCAGAGCCTCTACCATCCCGAGCTCCTGCAGTACTTCTACGCAAATAAGATTCTGTAAACGCAGAGCCGCGGGGAAATGCTTCCATGTGAGCCGATTGCAGGAGGGCTGATCTCTCCCTCTCCTAGCTCTTCAGATGCTTCTGCCGGCCTCTTGCAGTTGCGATAGAAAAGGGGGTGTTGGGAGAGCAGCTGATGGCAAAGAGAATACTGTGGTGTTGTATGATGATGTCCAAAGCAAAGCTGAAGGCTTTCCCATGTCCGTTTCTCCCCATGCAAATTTGATGAGAAAGTCCATACTTTCTTTAATGCATTTAAAGTTTATGTTTATGTTGATTTAGTGCTTATTTCTCAGCTTTTTACTTAAGTTCAATGCTATCACATCATCTTTTTTTTTCTTTTTAAAAAAATATTTTTATTGATTTCAGAGAGGAAGAAAGAGGGAGAGAGAGACAGAAACATTCATGATGAGAGAGAGTCATTGATCGGCTGCCTCCTGCACGCCCCACACTGGGGACTGAGCCACAAGCCAGGCATGTGCCCTAACTGGGAATTGAGCCGTGAGCTCCTGGTTCATAGGTCGATGCTCAACCACTGAGTCAGCCGGTCAGGCACATCATCTATTTTTAATTTTATTTCAATTTCAGAGGCTCAGAAGAATAACGATTACTTTAAGTGTTTTTTAAATCTGTTATTGATGCTTTGCTATTTGTTAATGATATCTTTTCTCGGTAAGACCTACTTAAAGTTGGTCAAAGTACCGAGAAGGTGGTTTGGAGGAGTAGCTTCAGCTTCTCCTAATCTCCAACAGCCATCGCCTCCAAGATCATTCCAAACAAGAACTAATCAAGGGAAAACAATCTATAGAGCATGTGTTGTAAAACCTCAGGCTGATGGCACAATAGGGAATACTAAGTAACATTTATTGAGAATGTTCATGCTAAATGCTGTGCAAGTACTATTTAATACAACAGCACTGTGGGGAAGGTACTGTGAGCATCCTCATTTTATAGATAGAAAAACAAGGTGGGGGGACATTAAGTAACTTCCCCGAGATGACCCAGTAAACGATGGAGCCAGAATTCAAACACATACGGTCTGACTTTTGGAGCCAACATTCCACCACCACGCGGTACCGCCTTGCTAGGGAATGATTGATGGATGGTAAGAAATGTAAAAAAATAAAGTTAAAAAGAAAAACTCCTCAGCTCCTGCTCTTCTCTTTAACTCACTTAACTTTGCTTTTTTTATGTACTAAGTATACATTTTTATTAATTTAATTTGTGAGCTAAGTGTGTATTTTTTATTAATTACCTATTAGCTATCATGTCAATTTTTTGGTGATCAATCCTAGTTCCATGAGAAGTCACAGCACTCTTCTAAAAGGTTTCAAGAAAATTCTCTTAGTCCCTCCCATCTCCCCTCAAACCAGATTGCTCCCAGAGCTTCTCCTATAGAAATTCTGTTATTACCATTGAACTTGGCATTCAGGGCATACCCTAGACCAGTGATGGCGAACCTTTTGAGCTCGGCATGTCAGCATTTTGAAAAACCCTAACTTAACTCTGGTGCCGTGTCACATATAGAAATTTTTTGATATTTGCAACCATAGTAAAACAAAGACTTATATTTTTGATATTTATTTTATATATTTGAATGCCATTTAACAAAGAAAAATCAACCAAAAAAATGAGTTCGCGTGTCACCTCTGACACGCGTGTCATAGGTTCGCCATCACTGCCCTAGACTATGTCCATTTTGAAAATGGAAAACACAAGAGGGTCATAAATGCTACAGAGGGACCTAGATGTCATCCTTAGAACCAGGAACTCAATTTTCTGCCCCAGCTCTCCAGAGATAGGACCGTGTAACACAGATGAGGGGTGAGGTGTGTCCCAGGAGAGAGAAGGATGACAGAAGGGGTAGGAGGAGGCAGGTATGAATGGGTTTTCTTTCTTCTTATTTTGCAGCTGGGGGCCCCCAGGTATAAATCTGGCTCTGCCACTTACCAGTGTGACTTTGGGTAAGTTAGCCCACCAAGCCTCAGTTTGCTGATCTGTGAAATGGGCATAATAACCCATCTCATAGATTTGCTGTGCTACAAGAATTCAATTAGATAACACTGAGCTCTTGGCACAGTACTTGGCACATGGAAGGTGCTTAGGAAATGTTAGTTTTGCTCCTGACCTCCAATAGGCTCTTCCAATATTGTCTCTTCTCTTCTTGTAGCTGCCCAAGTCTTCAGAGATATCCATTCTTGCAGTCTGGGGATTTGAGTATTATCTTGGTTCTTCCCAATGAATGACTGTAGTACTAAGGGCAGCCCTGCATCCTGCTCCTCACCAGAACCCCAAGAGTGTAGCTTTGACCTTTACCCACCATGGGTGTTTAACAAAGATTGCTTGAATTTATTGGATTGCAAGTAAATGCTGGTGCCTTGACCAAGCGTGAATCTGCCACCTCCTGGATTTTGGAATGGCTCAATACCTCTAAGTAAGTATGAGGGTCATAACTGAATGAGCGTAGCAGGTCGTTCTTTCCACTGCGCTCTTGTAGGGGTGTTGTTAATGATCACCCTGTTTTCCATTGATTTTTGGAGAGAGTGGAAAGGAGGGGGAGAGACAGACAGAGAAACACCGATGTGAGAGAGACACATTGATTGGTTGCTTCTCGCATGAGCCCATGAGCCCCGACCAGGGCCAGACAGGGTTGGAGTTTGCAACCGAGGTGCATGCCCTTGACCAGAATTGAACCTGGGACCCTTCAGTCCACAGGCTGCCGCTCTATCCACTGAGCCAAACCAGCGAGGGCAGGAGCAGTGCCTTTTATGCTCCTCAGATGGCTCATGAACTCTATTCTGTCCTCACAGTCCCAACAGCTCTGCTAATAATTCTGTGCTCTATCTTTTCCGTGATCTTTTGTTAATAATTAATGTCCCACCTTCTGTTTTCAAGTGTGACTGCTATAATCATGTTCCTTTCAAGCTAATGAATTCCTGCAGCAATGTGCAAATGTTAACCAGGTAACGGCCCAAGGGTCCCTCTGCAAGAAGAACATGTTTCTGAGAAACGTAGATCAGACAGTTAACATGTGACTTCCTAAGTCACGCTGCTGGAGGCACATGCCTCTGCCCTAACACAAATGCCGTCCGAAATGCAAAGCTTTTCAATATGGTGCGTTGACCGCATCAGCAGATGCAGCCACAGAGGGGAGAAGCCCATTCCCAACCGTGACATCACGTGTGCTGGAAGGACACACGACGTGGTGTAGAAAACCGGGCTTTGCGCCCTGGCATTAGCTCTTAACTTGCTGGTTATCTTCACAGCCTCAGTTTTTTCATCTGCAAAATGGGAGGGAACCCCACTACGCAGTATATGCTGATGATCAAATGAGATGGACTGTGTAAACTGTAAAATGTCACCCCAAGAAATGGGGCATTCTTATTTACGTGGTAGCTACTCATTATTGGAGCCTGTTTGTACAGGGAAAGGGTGAAAAGAATGAAATGCAGTATTGACGCAGACCCCAATTAAAAGCTACGATCCATCTGTGAGAACCTTAGAAAGAGAAAGAGAGCAGAATTAGGGGCCACGCATTGGTTTACACCAGCTGCTTCTCTAGATAACACATAACCCCGTCACAGTGTGAACTAGGATCCAGTTTACAAGCTGAACATGCATCTATTTTGTACAATTTATTTACACCCGAACTTTCTCAATATGATGGGAAGCGTAACCTTCAGAATATGTGGAAAGCCTGGCAGCCTTCCTTCGGATTTTTCTAATATTGGAATCTAATTTAACTGAAACTGTCTATGTCTTTGTTAGGGAAAAGTGAGTGTTTCGGTGTGTTTGGCTTTAAACCTGCCAGAATGACAGCTTATTTACGGGACCCTTAGAAGCCCGACAAGAGTGAACCAGGGAAGCTGCACAATGTGCTGAATCCTGGGTTCAATTAATTCAAAGCTAGTGAGCTCACTCCCACAATGTTAGCAAACAAATGCAATTTTCTAAACAAAAAGTTTATGACTTAAGGGAACAAACACAATTTCTTGTCTTAAGCAAGATTTACTTGTTTAAATGGCTAACCAACACTATTTGTGTTGCTTCTCAGTAACTATCAGTAACCAAAGAAAGGATTTGATTATGAAGACTAGAGGCCTGGTGCACGAAATTCGTGCACTTTGGGGGGGGCGGGTCCTTCAGCCTGGCCTGCACCCTCTCGCAGTCCGGGAGCCCTGGGGGGATGTCCACTAAACCATCAGTCAGACATCGTTAGCATTGCCACGGAAGCGGGAGAGGCTCCCACCACTGCCGCTGTGCTCGCCAGCCGTGAGCCCAGCTTCTGGCTGAGCGGTGCTCCCGCTCTGGGAGCACACTGACCACCAGGGGGCAGCTCCTGCGTTAAGTGTCTGCCCCCTGGTGGTCAATGCACATCGTAATGACTGGTCATTCCACCATTCGGTCATTTGCATATTAGCCTTTTATTATGTAGGACAATGGAATATGCACAATTAAATCTGTTTAATCTGCAAAGACCTTTGGCCTACCTGGCTCTGTGTTTAGGCCTGGACCTAACTACGTATTGATTATCCTCCTTGCTCTCACCTTTTCCAAGAAAAGGAATGGCTGGCCCAGCATGTTGGCTTTTAAATAAAGACAATTTAAACTTACATGTCAATAAATGAAGTGTGCCTGGCCGGGACAGTTGTAGTCCTGGCTTGAGGTGGCCCTCTCCGGCTGGGAGAGCAAGGACAGGCTTGCAAGGTCGATTACTTTGTCCCTCTGCCCCCGGGGAAACGGCAACTACGTCATTCTGGTGTCTGGGACGCTGAACCAGGCTGGGGCATTAGTGTCCCTGGCAACAGCTCTGTGACCTTGAAGGAGTGATTGGGCCTCATTTTGTTGATCGTAGATCAAGGGAGGTGCGCACACAGAACCCCTCTGATTCTGCACCCTTCACAAGCTTAACACCCTGGATGGGGATCCCCTCCAGGCAGAGTGACCAACCACCCCAGTTTGCTTGGGACTAGGAGGTTTCCTGGGTCATAGGACTTTCAGG